ATTTACAAAAATATAAAGGCATTAACCAAAGAATATGTCCTCTTAGGATTAACGAGAGAATGGCATAAAGCCAGAAAAATTCTTGTCAAAATATCTCTAACATATTGTTTCAAAGTAATTTTCAAAAACATGTAGCTGTTAGTTATTATACACAAGCAATATAGGTGTCATTTGTAATACAGTACTAAAAGTAACTTTGTAACTACTAGTTGTGTTACTCAGTACCCCAAAACTAGTTAAAGGTAACTACATTATTTGCAACAAGTTACTTCTGGTATCAAGATCTATAGATGGACAGCCATCATTAATGTGATCCAAAATACAGTACAGTAATTGAAGGAACTATCTGGTCAGTGTTCCAGTACCGCTTACCTACAAGTACCTGGGCACTGAGCAACTGAGCCCTCATGCCAGGAGGTAATGGGTGGAGATGGGTGCAAAGACTTCAAAGCCACCCCATGCACAAACAGAATGTTCTCCCTCTCCAGTGCTGCTTGGCTTGAGATTTTTCTCCTTTCCGGGAGACCCAACGAAATCTAGCAACTGCCCGAGATATCAGCTGGTGCCCTGGGATCTGGTAACCTGAATCCACACTGAGCCTTCAGTGTTGTTTTCCAAATTTGGAGGAAGGGCATGTTTGCTTTCTGTAAAAAAAGGATCAGTCTGTATTTATTATCAGTAATTTGCATAACATTGTCATTATACTAATTACTTGTAACGGTTTCATTCATAACCAGTCATGGGGTAATGGGTATCTTTACTATTCCATTTTACACAGATGGAAAATTGAGGGTGAGAGTTTATTATTCATGTTTCCCTATGGGTGATGACTTTGTGTACCTTGGCTCAACAATCTCTGACACTATCTACAATTCTGTCCATTAGATTGGGGTGCCTAAACTTTCAAGTGACCAGACCCATATCTAGTATATGCTATAGGGCCAGGGACCACATATTCGTGTGCACATGCTCTTACATACTCATGTAAATAAATATAATTCTCATAAATCTGGACATGAAACTTTGAAGCATATAAAGTGCACCTAAACTTTATGCACAGTCAGTAGGCATCCTTCAGTCTTGAGAGACTATGGTAGCGTGCTCTGTATGGAGGTCTTGGAACAGTGTCTAGTGTGGCTGAGAAGGCCAGTTCAAGAGTGACAATATCTTCCACATTGAAGACAAATACAATCTGTCCCCTGTCCAGCTCCCTGGTTTTGCTTGTTTCAGGACTGCCTCTTTGCCTCGGCCTGCTGGACAAGGGTCTCTTCAAATTGGGAGAGGCTGTGATGCACTGCCTGCCTCCAGGCTGAACGCTCAGACGTCAAGGTTTCCCATCTGTTGAGGTCCATTCCTAAGGCCTTCAGATCCCGCTTGCAGATGTCCTTGTATCACAGCTGTGGTCTCCCTCTGGGGCGGTTTCCCTGCACCAATTCTTCATACAGGAGATCTTTTGGAATCCGACCATCAGCCATTCTCACAACATGCCAAAGCCAACGTAGACGGTGCTGTTTCAGTAATGTATACATGCTAAAAATGCCAGCTCATTCTAGGACTACTCTATTTGGAACTTTGTCCTGCCAGGTGATACCAAAAATGCATTGGAAACAACACATATGGAAGGTGTTCAGCTTCCTCTCCTGCCGTGCACAGAGGGTCCAGGACTCGCTGCAGTACAGGAGTGTGCTCAGGACACAGGCTCTGTAGACCTGGATTTTGGTGTATGCCGTCGCTTCTTATTAAGCCATACTCTCTTTGTGATTCTAGAGAACATGGTAGCTGCTTTCCCAATGCATTTCTCCAGCTCGACATCTAGGGAGAGAGTGCCAGAGATTGTTGAGCCAAGGTACCCAAAGTCACGAACAACCTCCAATTCTTGTGTGGAGATAGCAATAGAGGGAGGTGAGTCCACACCCTGGCCCATGACTTGTGTTTTCTTCAGGCTGATTTTTAGTCCAAAGTCTTGGCAGGCCTTGCTAAGGCCTTTATGCACATCCATTCCGAAATTAGTCTCAATGAATTTCAGACAGGCAAAGCACAGCTTAGTTTTATTCACGCCTTCTCAAAGTAAACCCCAGAAGAACAGATTTCACACATGCAAGGTGGATTTTATGCTGTTTCAGAAGCAGAGTATTAACATTTTGCTTAAATATCAGGATTAAAATACTTTTTTTTCATGCAGTGCTCTAAGAAAAATGGGTTTCTCTGCTTCATAGCTATAGAAAAACTCTTCCTGGACCCTAACCTGGATCCTTGAGTGGTAATCGCTGTCTTTCCCCTGCAGGCCTGCTGGATTGGAAGGGAAAATAGGTGTGGTCAGCACAATCCATAACTAGCGGTTCATGTCCATCTCTACTCCCTGGTGATTTCAAGTTATCTAACACTTGCTGATGTATCCAAGTAGGGCAGAGGTGAACAACCTAAATCTTGCGGGCCGCATGTGCCCCTTACCATGTGGCCCACAGGATTTAAGTTGTTCACCTCTGCCCTACTTGGATACATCAGCAAGTGTTAGATAACTTGAAATCACCAGGGAGTAGAGATGGACATGAACCGCTAGTTAAGTGGTTCGTGTTGGTTCCTTTACTGGCCAAACAGGTGCATGGCAGTTCCCAGCCCTGCTTCCTCCATCGGTTGCCCGCTCAGAGGCAGCGTCTGGAGGAGGTGGGGCAGGGAAGCTAGGGCACTGCCTCTGAGTAGGCATCTACTAGAGGAAGCAGGGCTGGGAACATCCAGACACCTGTAAACAAACCAGCATCAACCACTGAACTAGCAGTTCATGCCCATCTCTGCAGGGAGCCTTTGGTGGGTGCTTTTGAATTTAAAAATAAATGGACAGAGGCTGTCTAAACTGTTATAGTCATGAAGTACTTGAAGAAGCTCCTGTAAGATACAAAACACCAAAAGCTCCTGTGGCATTTTAAAGACCACAAAACACTGATTTGTGCTTTCATTCAGAGGTTGTTGTAGTGTTTATACTTTCAGTCTACTTTCTAGTAGTATTAGTACTTCTCTGGTAGTAGTTTTCTATAGAAAGTAGCGATACTAGCTCTTCTAACCACAAAAGGTTTATGTAACTTTAATGTTTAAACAGTGAATAAATTTTAAAAAAATGTTGTTCAGATTTCCTATACATTTCTATCATCAGTCCAAACAGAGTTTGCAGCCAGGAAATGTTAAGAACACTGAGATTTGGAATGACAGCTATGAAAGAACTAGAAAAGATATTTAAGTACCGCACTGTGGCATTCCCAATTGCTGTGTATAAGTGTGAAAGCTGGATGGTGAAGACAGCTGACAGGAAAAAAAGAGAGAAAGATTCATTCCAAAATATGTTTACAGATACCCTGCACTACAAAAAAAAAGCCAAATAAATGTATTTTAGAGCAAATCAAGCCTGGACTCTTACTAAAATCTAAAATGGCCAAACTGGCTATCATACTTTGGACATGTGAGAAGATGAGATTCACTAGAAAAGACATTAATGGTAGGAAAAGCTGAAGGTGGCAGGAAAAAAGAAGGCCAAACATGAGACGTCTCGACTCAATAAAAGAAGCCACAGTCCTGAGTTTACAGGAGCTGAGTAGGGCTGTTAATACTGGGACTTTCGGAAGTCACTAATTTATAGGGTCAGAAGGAATTTGGCACATCAATAGCAAATTATAATACATTTGCTGAACAGAGATTCTGCCAAAGGGCAAGGAGAAAAAATATTAATGGTGAAATTATAGTTACCATCTGCTTTTGAAAGTTCATAGGTTTGAAGGTATCAAAGAAGGCATTTGGAATTTTTTTTAAAAAGTTGCCAATCATCATAATCAACAACAGCTTGTTTTTCTAAGGTTAGAAGTATGAATTTCTGGAGAGCTGTGTCGTTTATTATATCTGGGGGGGGCAGTATTATGAGCCTAAATTCAAACCGTCTTTTACCTCCAGAAACTGCAAAAACTGACAAACTTTTGATTTGCAAAGTATGGTTTCCGCAAAGAGTGGTTTGCCCAACTGCGGAAAACAACTAATTATGATTTGCTAAGAACCAGGCAAGTGTAGAGATCACAGTATATGAGGCAAGGTAAAGGAAGCAGAGGAAGAACAGAATACACCTGAGGCAGGGTCTGGACCACTTGAGGAGCCTCATGACACACTGGTTATAGTGCAGTACTGCAGTCAAGACTCTGCTCATGATCTGAGTTTGATCCCAACATGATCACGTACCAGACTCATATAGCTGACTCAGCCTTCCATCCTTTTGAGACTGGTAAACTGAGTATCCAGCTTGCTGGGGGGGGGGGGGGCAAGGGGTTCCTTACATAATTATGTTGCAAATTGCCCAGAGAGGCTCTAGTACTATGGAGTATAAGCAGCACACTTTGCACACTTCGATGCTGCCTTTCCTTGTCCCTTGGCCTTGCCCAAGCAAGGCTAATTTATTATGTCCTCATCTGGCAATGACATATAAAGAAAAAAATGTAAATATTAAGGTCAAGTGTCACTAAAATTTTACATTCGTTATATCTTGTGTGATACACTTGCTAACTGAGCACAACTCTTCAAAGTGTTTATGTTGTAAGACTTTTGTTAGTTAAAGGGGCAGAAGAACATACTGACATATTTCCCTTAAGAGCCAAACTATGTTGCTAAGGGCGCAATCAGATGGCTGGAAAGGTGTAAGCATGATCACACCAGAGAGGGTCATTTTGCAGGAAATGCTCTCCCTTAAAGCAACCCTTTTGTCTGCTGGAGAATCACTCCAGCCAGTCCCAAAATGTAGTAGTCCTACAGCTAGATTTGTGTCAGGCTGGTGTGCATTTTCCTGCACATTGTGTGAATTGTCAGAAAATCGATTGCACCAAACGAGTCCACAAGCTGCCCAAAATATGATTCATTTCCATGTGGGATCAGACCCTAAATTGTGTTAAGTGTTATAAAAGGCTGGGGGTCTGGCCCAAGGAGTAATCCTTTCGAGATTCTGATAATTTTGTCTTTATCCTTCTTTGCAGGTAGCACAGGGTCAAAAATAACCAAGAAGGCAGAGCTGCACAAGCCAACCTAGATCATGAATGGAAATATTCCGTTCCCACAGTCGCCCGAAGAGTATAATGAGCCACATACCTCAAGCATGCAGCGATCCCCAATCTTCTCTAATGAGAGCCAGCAAACAGCAGAGGCAACCAAATCCCCAGGCAGCACAACCAGCCTCTCGAATGATGCTGAGCCGCCTGGAGCAACGGACAGAGGAAGTGCCAGGGACAATGCTAGTGTGAGCAATTCTGGCAGAGACCAAGGAGCCGCCACCGACATAGGAAAAAGGAAGACTGAGATGCAGAAGGCAAGGGGGCAGCAAGAACAATCAGGAAGTGCTGGGGGCAGCCTCAGCAGCCCAGTGGTGCTCACAAATGGGTTACACATGGAGGAGCCTGAGCCAGGCAAAGAGAGAGATGTTGATGGCAAGAAAGGCACAGGGAGACAATCTCGAATCACTGCAAGGACTGGCAGTGCTGCTCTGGAAGAGAAGCTCTTGACAAATCAGATATTGTTCACTGAGGCACTTGGCAAGGCAGGTTTGCCATCATACCGGAACATGGTGGAGCTGGCAGACCCTGAGGATGAAGAAGAACAGATTAGGTAACAGAGGTGGTGTGAAACACCAGTGTATTATGTCTCATATTGTCTTCTTTCAGTTGTACCTTAAAGCTTCCCTTAGCTTAGTCTTAGACCCGGGGATGTCATCATGACAGCGGCATCTTCACAGCTGTCACTAGCTCATACTCAGAGTAGGAGAGTCATTAAAAGGGCTGGCACTGCAACCCAGGGTGCCACCGATTGGCCCGAACTCTGCCCTCTTCCCTTTTCAGCAAGAATTCTAAAACAAGGGAACATCCTTGGATGGCTGTAGACTGAGTCAGACGTTTTAATAAACCATCTGAGGCAGTCCCAAGATTTGGAGACCGTGAGAGCTTGAGCAGAAAAAAACACGGCTATGTAACATATAAAGACTTTTGGTGTAGCCTTGCCCAAATATTACCTCTTTTTGAAACATAGGCTACTTACTTGATTCCATTTACTGTTTTCCCAAGCTCAGAACTTTCTATTCCACCATTAAGCTTCGACTCTTTATTGAGAAAGTAACTGCCCTTTAAGTTTAATTTTCAAAACCTATATTTAATAAAATGCACCTTGCCTTTTATTAAATGTACGTCTAAGAAACCAGCCTCTTTGGTTTCCTGTCTTGCCCCAAGATCCTTGGAACTGTCTCGAAGTAAACCAGTGGGAATTGTAGGTTCAGAATATTTCTGAGGATTTCAAAGAGTTAGCCATGTTAGTCCTGTGACACCCTTAAGTTTAATTTTCAAAACCTATATTTAATAAAATGCACCTTGCCTTTTATTAAATGTACGTCTAAGAAACCAGCCTCTTTGGTTTCCTGTCTTGCCCCAAGATCCTTGGAACTGTCTCGAAGTAAACCAGTGGGAATTGTAGGTTCAGAATATTTCTGAGGATTTCAAAGAGTTAGCCATGTTAGTCCTGTGACACCCCACCCAAATTTATTCTACTGCAAGCTTTGTGGATTACCATCCTCATACACCTGAGGAAGTCATTTGTAATCCATGAAAAAAAAATCTAATGAAATAAATATGTTAGACCTTAAGGTGTCGCAAAACTTTTTATTTTTGTTTCGGGTTTCTTTCCTTTACTTTCTTTCTACTCTGTCAGATTGGAATACAGAGTATTGCAGAAGTAAGCAACAGATTCTAGGATCAGGCATGTTTGACTGCAAAAGCTTGACTCCATTCTTTGCTTTGCATCTCTGATATTTTGCTCCAGTTCCTGAATCACACCATAGAGCTCTGAAGAGGAGGGGGATACCCAGTGTGTGTAATGTACCTATTATTCAGCTGTATCCTTTCCTTTCAGCTTTGCTACTGCAGAAGCCAAGCTGAGCTGCAGTGACGATGACAGGGAAGATTTTGCATTTAAAGACATCAGGGATGGATTCAGTTCTACCTTTGAAAAAATTGTGGAATCTGACCTTATGAAGGGCACATACTACAGCAGTCTGGACTCCTTGGATGTGCTCTCACTGACAGATGAGACAGACAGCTGTGTTAGCTTTGAAGCGCCGCTCACACCTCTTATTCAGCAAAGAACTAAAGAAAGTTCTGAACTTTTAGAACAGAAACTCATTGCTCACCGGAAAGACATCCTGGAGCCCATGATAACAGATAAGCAGGAAGAGGCAATGGCCAAAGCTATGGATGGTGACTTTGGGAGTCCCCTCAAACACTCGATCACCAGCAGCCGATCAGAGAATGTGCTGAGCAGGGCATCTCTGAAAAATATCCCCAACGGGTACCACGCGGACAGGGTAGAAGAAGATGCTGCAAACCTTATGAATTCAATCAGGTAAAATGCTTTTCTGATATTATAGCTGTCAATTCCATATTTATATTTGATTAACTAGTCTTTTTAAACCAATCAGCCTCCAGTAAATCATTTAAAGATTTAGCACTGCATATTTAGTTGGTATCATAATCATTGTTGTCATCATCATCATCATCATCCTTAAAGATTTAGCATTGCATATTTAGTTGATATCATAATCATCGTTGTCATCATCATCATCATCAGTATTTTTAAAGCTGATAGCTTTAATTGATTTAATTGATAGATCAGTCAATGAAACGTTCTGTAGATTTATTGTTGTACATTAGATTTGTTTAGCATGGATGCTTGTAATCAGTGGAAGTATAAATTAAAATTTCAGTTTTCAAGGATATTTTGTTCTAGGGAAATAGTCCCTATATGTTCCCTCCCTCCCAATCCATATTTGTGATGGTATTTTTTCCTCACACTGATTATATATTTCTACCTTATACTGCTAGAAATCATCTAGATTTTGGATATATAGATATAGATCTATCTATCTATCTATCTATCTATCTATCTATCTATCTATCTATCTATCTATCTATCTATCTATCTATCTATCTATCTATCTATCTATCTATCTATCTATCTATCTATCTTCACATTTAATGAATTAATTAAAGACAGACTGTTAATCTATTCGAATTATAAATGTATTTATAAATGTATAAAGCAGCACACTTCATTCTTTGGTTGACATCAGCAATTATTTGCCTGATATCATAAGGAGACAGCATTAAGAAAGCACTGTAATAAAGAAACGAGGAACCCCTCAGACACTGTGTTTACTATGGATGACTCCCAAACTGAGGGAAGAGAGTATCTCTTTCCTCTCACATTATTAAGGTAAGATATCTTACTTGCTGTTCAGTCCATGAGTCACCAAGGAGTTTACAGTCTATTTTTTATTATAGGAGGAATCACCAAAAAAAAAAAAAAAAAAAAGGCGAAGCTGATGAGAGGTGGGTGGGAGCAGTGACTGTTGCAGCCTATTGGAGGCATTTACTGGAGACTCCACTGACTGAAGTATGACCCCATTCTGCAAATTTAGCTTTAACCTCAAAGAGAACACGACTTCTCTTCCAAAGTTTAATGCGTTGTTTTAATCCAACATGGAGGGTTCTAAAAAGGGATATACTGCTAGCTATTAAAGTTAACTATTGGGATTCCAGTGATGAAGGAACCTCTTTCCTTTCCAGCTGCTGACATAAAGAAAATCTCTTCTATAAATATATTGCTTACTGAGGGGAAAATCCCCCTCTGATAACCAGATCTCATTCTACTACTAGATAGAGGGCTCTGCTTTCTAACCATTGAAGGCCATTGTTTCACCACATTGCAATGGAAATGCAACCAGGTTGCTTATTTCTCTCCTCATCCCTGCCCTCAACTAACTTAAGTGCACTCTATTTAATACCAAGTCTTGTCAGAAACAAAGTGCCATTAATGAACATATTACAGGCATAATTCCATTTGTGACTGATGCTTTATTTGTTGCAAGATTATATGTGCACAAGACATTTCTTAACAGTATCTATAGTGGTATGAGGTGGGAACTAATTAAGGATGGGTAATATTTGTATCTCGTGTGGCAGATATATATTTGGCCAGATGTCTCTTTCACTCATTATGTCTGGAAATGAAAGGAAGCACCAGGGGCACTGCAGTGCCGGGGGGGTAGAGAATGGGTGGGCAATGGCCTTGTGCAGCGCCTAGCTCTATGCGATACCATTACATTGGGTAATAGCGAGCCATGCAACTGGGGCAATTGGCTTGCAATGGCAGGGACAGGACTTTTGCACCATTCGCCCCCATGTTTCAGGGTTAAGAGCATTTTCAGGTCGGTGTTAACAAAACAAACTAATTGCCAATGAGGAAAGCAAAGGGCTATGGCCTGAGATGTGAGACACCATGCAGCACCATTGATTTTTAAAAAATTGGAAGTGTGCTTACAGTTTGGACAGTCGTGTGGGGAAAAGTTGCCTTCAAAGTAGCATTTCGCATCAAGAAAGGAATGATTTCGGTGTACCCTTTTTTAAAAAATTGGAAGTGTGCTTACTGTTTGGACAGTCGTGTGGGGAAAGTTGCCTTCAAAGCAGCATTTTGCATCAAGAAAGGAATGATTTCGGTGTACCATTTGAAATGGCAAAGTGGGAGTAGTAAAGAATCCAGAGAGGGATGTGCTGTACAGGTGATTCTCTCAACCAGTAACCTATTATCCAGAAATATGCCCAGGCAAGACACTGAAAGGATTATGGGTCCAGGGCAACAAAAGCATCAAAGATCTAACATGAACAGAAAGCCTGGATCTGAGCTGAGAAATACTCCATTCTTCCTACTTCTGCCAAAAGGCTATAAGGGCAGCAGGTGCTGGTATGTCTTTGTGGTACACCAAGAAGGTGGAAGTAGAAAGGGAGAGGAAAAGATTTTGTCACCTGTGTACAATCAAAGCCAACACAAGAAAGAACACATTCATCGATCCACATTCCGGCACTCACAACAAACTAATCAAGTCATGCGAAAGCTTTATCTGATTAATTTATTTATGATTAATATGAAAAAAAGAGAAAAATTACAGAACACAATGGTTAGCCTGAAAGTGGTGCAGCACCACACTCCCGCTCCACCTAAATGTGAAATGGTTGGCCAACCAAGCAAAGGCAGATATGTAGACGCTGATTAGCTCACTTTTGAGTTTTCCCCAGGGTCTCAACAGCTGAACAACCTCTGAGGCATTATTGATGGTTGAGCTATCAGTCTTCTTTATTGGTGCTTCCTCTTTGTGCTACTGTTACCCTAATAATGTTGGAGTATACTTCCATGATCTGTTGAGATCACCAGCCCGTCTCTTGCTCCACCATGGCATTGGCCAAAAAAACCACAAACAAATATTCTTAACTCAGTCCATTTCCAAACTTTCTCTGAATACTGTGCACACCTCTAATGACTGTGTATAATCTTGTAATAGTACCCAGTATAGTATAGTGGATGGGACTCAGGAGACCTCAGTTTGATTCCCTGCTTAGCCATGGAAGCTCATTGGGGTTATGGAACTGGCAATACCACTCCTGAAATACCACACTGACCTTAAAAGCCCTACTAGGTCGCTATAAGTCCATTCTGACTTGATGGCACATAATAACATAATCCTGTAAATGTAAAACCAATTAGAGCAATTAAAGATGTATGGGTAAATTTTGAAAACTAAATGTTTAATTGTATTTTATACTAGAATAAAAGATCACTGAATAGTATAGAGATTTTGTGCTCTTTCATTGCTGGTATTATTTTAAAATGTTAATTTTAAAAATATAGGTATAATTTGATAAAAAAAATCTTTTTAGGACCAACTAAAATGTCATAATAAAAGCATTTTTTAAAATGCTTTTAAGGTGTGCTAAAAAAATGAAAAGGAGCAACATTTAGGCCATGCATCCAACTGAAAGCAGGAGATTGCTGATTGATTGAATTAGTCACTTGCAGGGGCTTCAGGTTATCTGTTATTTTGTTTCATACTTATTAGACTATCCAGTAAGTAGCCAAAATTCTCTTGGACACTGCACAAGCATATTCAAGTAAAAAATAGCAATATACACTCAAAATAAAATAATGTAATAAAAATGCCACACATGATTTATTAGCTAGGAAGGAAAACAAAATATTTACACAGATGTACAAATATGCACATATTTATATGACAAACAAAAAGGAAATATTTAAATAGAATGGCAAAACATTCCACCTCTTGCAGTTGCTGTGCATAAAAGCACATTGTTTCCAAAAGGATAGTTGTCAAATACAGAGGATGGAGAACAGATGATTCAGGTGATGTCCTCTAGATTCAGGCCATGAAGACCCAGGGAGCCAAATCCACATATCCAATTTTTTAAAAAAAGTTTTTGCATCCAAGGGTAATTTCTGTCCCAATTAACAACAAATCATGTAGGCCAATCGTTCTCAACCTTGGGGCCTCAGATGTTCTTCAACTACAACTCCCAGAAATAGAGATGGGCATGAATCAGAAAAATTGTGATTCACTTTGACTGATGATCTGTCAAGGTCAACAAATTACAAAATGAAGACTGATTTTCAGAAATCCACAAAGTGGATGTGTCCCCCCCCCCGGAAAGTGTCCTTTAGCACCTGGCTCAAGAAAACCCAATTTTCACCAAATTTGGAGGGATTGTGAGGAGACTAAGTAGAAGCTTCTCTGTGATTTTGGTTCTCTAAGTGCCTGGGAAAAACATTCTTGGGGGGGCCTTCTTTATGGGTGTATAACTCAGTGATTTTGATTCTCTAGGTGCCTGGGAAAAACTTTCTTGGGGGGTGTATAACTCAGACATCCGAAACTCAATCTTCATCAAAATTGGAGAGATTGTAAAGAAAAGACAAAGGAAGCTTCTTGGCAATTATGGTGTCTCCACATGCCTTGAGGGCCATTTTAAAGCCAAATGAATCAGTGAATCCAAAATCATGAAAATTTGCTGATTCATGATTCATTGGGGCATTGATTCGTATGAATACGTGATTCATTGATTCGTATGAATACAAATTGATAAATTAGCAATTTCTGAACATATTTGGTGATTAATTTTTTAATTTAAGCCCATCTCTACCCAGCCACACTGGCCAGTACAACTAGAAATGGCTCTTGGATTTTTAGTTCAAGAACAACTGGAAACTTAAGATTGGGAACCACTGAAGTAGGCTATGATGTTCTGAATTAAGGTGTCTAGTCACCAGATAATCTGATTTCCTGGTTATCAAAGCAAAAGAAAAGAAATAAATTGAACATGTGGTATGCAACACTGCAGCAGATAATAAAACCAAAGCAAAACTACCAACAAATATGTATCAATTCTTCATATACCCAGAAGAGTGGAAATGTTTTTGTCTAGCACTGAGAAAGCCATATATAAGGCAGGCTTCAGGTAAGCTCAGGGGAGCTGCATTTGAGAGATGAGGAGCATATGCCCTCTAGATGAAGTTGAAATGCAACATCATCTTTCCTCACTTTGACTGTGGTAGGTAGGACTGATAGGAGTTGTTGCCCAACTTCTGAAGGACACGTGTTACATAATTCACTTCAGGAGAGTATTTCTTGATCTTCTCATATATCTTGTGGGAGGTAATGGAGTACAATGAAGTTGAAATGCAACACCATCTTTCCTCACTTTGACTGTGGTAGGGTGGACTGATAGGAGTTGTTGCCCAACATCTGAAGGACACGTGTTACATAACTCACTTCAGGAGAGTATTTCTTGATCTTCCCATATATCTTGTGGGAGGTAATGGAGTACAGCTCTACTTGCATGGAAGAAGATGCATGCCTTTGTTTGGGGAGGATGAGAAATGCAACACCATCTTTCCTCACTTTGACTGTGGTAGGGTGGACTGATAGGAGTTGTTGCCCAACATCTGAAGGACACGTGTTACATAACTCACTTCAGGAGAGTATTTCTTGATCTTCCCATATATCTTGTGGGAGGTAATGGAGTACAGCTCTACTTGCATGGAAGAAGATGCATGCCTTTGTTTGGGGAGGATGAGAGACATTGATAGAGGGACTTCCTCTGGCTTCCATTCCTTACCTGCTCTGACCTGTGTTCATCTTCCTTCAACATAGACTGATAGTCTTAAGGATGCAACTTTCTTCTAACTTTACCTTATTGGCCCTCTTTGGGAGAGATCAGAAGTAACATTTTTCTTTTGTTTTCAGGAAATGGCAGGGCAGTCATAGCTCTCTGATCCACCTTAGTTAATTAAAATTAAAGTTCCTGTCATTTTTCCTATATCAGTTTCTAATAAACACTAGCTTTCTTATTTTCTTGAAATAAGAATTGCAGATGGGATATCTTTCAAAAAAAATGGAGGTGTAACCTGGTAATTCTTCTAATTTTCAGGAAGTGAACTGATGTGTTAACTTAGTTGCTGCTTTTGCGGACTTTTTTCTTTTCTTTTTCTTTTTTGCAGCATGTCTCTTGCAGGATTAAGAGCAAGAAAACAGGCTAGATCCCAGGAGCTGTTAAAGAGCTTGAGTAGAAAAGAGGACATGTTTTACAATGTCTCAAGGTGAAACAGAGTGCAGGAGGTATGATGAGCTAATCTCATACCAGGCACCCAACAGCCTGATCAGATCCTAAAGACTGCTGCTGCTGATACAATATGTTAAAGCGAGGTAGATACAGCCGCCTTATTACTAAACAGCTATGGCATTCCTCTACAGGGTACTAGCATTTACTCTGGCCCTATTGGTTGGAAGTTTACATATTTTAAGCAAGAACTGATACCTTATAATTGAATGCTTGATTCACATCTGAGGCAGTGTGTGTTTTGTACTTGGAGACAAACTAGTTGGAGACAGCTTGTGTGCATTGCATTTTTAGGTAGAGTAGCTCTGCTATAAATAAGACTACTAGACCAGTGGTCAGGGAACAGAGGTAAATTACCCCAGATGGGGTAAAAGTGAAAATCCTGGGGGCAACAGAGTGCTACCCCCGCCCTCCCACCCCCAACTCCTGCA